CTGTCATGAACTTATCCGCCACACGCTTCAGCCCTTGTAGCGTTGTTGGCGCGGCCCGTCGAACTTCTGAGATCGCCAGCGACCAGAACCATAAGTCTAGGCCTGGATTGGGAGATCCGGGTCGCGTGCCGGCCACTGGCGTGGAGTCCTCCGCATGATGACTCCGTCGCCAATTTGTAGCCCGGACCGGACGGTCAGGGCGCACGGTCGCACCGTCTTGTTAGAATTTGTCCTGCCGCCGTGCTGCAAGCGTGCATACCCGAGGCCAGAGCTCGCTCTGAAGTAGCAGGCGGGAGGTCTAGCCCAGGGGCGCAGCCAGAGACGTGGCAAGGGGGAGGTGGCACAGGGTTGACAAAGGCCCCTGATAGTGAAGTGGCTGACCCCCCGGAAAGATCAGCAGACCTGCCCGTTTGTTAATGAGACAATTTTTGTCTTGTTCAGCATGAAATAAAATGTTTAACAACAGGAAATGTTCAACATTTAGTTTACACATCTATCGATTACAGCTTGTCAGTTTGTCAGTTTGTGTTCGGTTTGTCACAGTTTTTCGATACACAGATTGTCGAGCCGATTAGAAAAACAAGTATGTAACGCGCTTTCGAACATGCGCACTCGCAGATCTTAGCAACAGAAACCTCAATGCTAGACGTTGCAGCCTCCATAGGCCGCGCAGCGTCGGCTCGCGGCAACACCGAGCCGTGGCCAGCGGGCGGTTGAAAGTGATGACGCATCTAAAAGAAAGCGCCTTTGAGCGCCTTAGGAAATCAAATCGTACATCTAGAATGCAGTCCGGTCGCATTTTTCCCCTGTGTTATTTTTAGGTTGATGATAACAACGGATTGGCCTCAACAGCACCGCGAAGTGGTGCTGGAATCTGGTGTTGGAAATGGAAAAGTACAGGTAGAATCTCTATTTTCGTGTTGCCGCAGCTGTTGAATTGTCCGCAGGGCAGCCTCAAAGTTGTTTGTTAAAGATACACCGAATCTTATCTTTATATACCAAGAATTGATTTTGAAAGACACTCGGATGCATTATTTGACGACAGAACTTCCCGCGCGTTCAGCGCCCGCTGCCTGGTGTTGCTTGCAGGGTCCTACGCCGTGCAGTTTTGCGGACACAGCAAGCCCGGTCATCGCTGTCCTTGCTCCCGAGATTGCGAACGGTCATTCTCAAACGGGCGATAAGATGTAATGACGAAATTTGATGTCATTTGTTTCACTGGTCGATTCCGAAAAAACTAAATGTTCTCAGGCAGACATGCATGGGCCTGTTAATTTTTTAGGTCAATTGGACCCACTCTATTCAGCTTTCATGGATCCTCCTCCATTTATGGGCAAGGAGTCCCTTTAAGTAGAACACCTGGAGGGTACATTATCGTTCCGGTTGAGAGATGAAGGGTCATTCCGTCCCACCGCGGGTTGCCTTCTGGCTACCATTCTGGCGTTACGGGACAAGACCCCCTAATTGATCCGGGGGCCTTTAGAGGGATACATCACATTACATTGGTCTGCTCCCTAACGCGGGAGGCCTTCTGACCCGCGCAGCTGGTTGTAGGTCGGCGCAGGAGCTCTCATTGACGCAACCATATCCCTGATCGCCGCCTGGTTATAGGTCGGCGCAGGAGCTCTCATTGACACAGCCATATCCCTGATCGCCGCAGGTGGCCCAGTAACTGACACAATGACTCCAGTCCGGCATCGCCCATGCTGGGATTGGGTTGGAAGGCCTACCGTTCAGTGCAGGGGGGCCTGACTGGCCCAGGACACTTCCGTGGTCTCAATGTGGACACTCATTATAAGCTCTCATGTTTCCTTTCATTGTCAGAGGCCTCTGACCAACGCTTCGGTTCTGGTGGCTCGCCCCGGCCCCCTTCCTCGTCGAACGCTGCCCTTGGTCGGCGTGAGCCTCTTGCCAACACGGGGCTCTCTGTTAAGCGCTGAGGGGCCCTGACAGATGCTGTGGCCCCGACCAATATAAATCGCTGGCTCCGGCTTTGTCCCTGTTTGGGAAATGGGTCTCCAGGCCGACAGGAAGCGGACTGTGCGTTGCCAGCGGGATCTGAGCGATGTATAGGCCCTTATTGGCTCAGGAGGTCCCTGAGGCCCCTGATGGGCGCGCAGAGCCTGGAACTGGAGTGCCCGGCCCCTAGAACGGGACACCTGAATGTGACCTCCGGTCGGTCTTTCGGGCGCTTATTTGTAGATCGTGAGGGGCCCTTGAGGCCTCTTGGAATCTAAGGGGGCACGTGCCCGCTGTGCCCCTCCCCCTTGCCTGCGCTACTGGGTATGGCAGGCTTCTGTCTCGCATGTGCCGAGCCCATCACTCGGCCAGCCACAATGACGGCTCGGCACATCCCCATCGCCATCGTCATCGCCATCGCCCGCCACATCGGATTCGGCATTCACTGGTCACATTGGGGTTGCTTAGTAGCCAACCGTTACTTTGGTTTGTTTGGCGTTTGCTTCTGACAAAAGCAGTTTTGGTAAGTCCCACGTGAACTCCAACCGGGCGGTGGAGCCACCACTGGCCGAACGTAACCCCGTCCGCCCGCTGTCTGGGAGTGAGAGGCACGACAGGGTGTGACATGTCGCGGCGCCACCCCATTTTGCTGTGCTACACTCGCCATGCTGCCGCATTATCGATGCCAAGCGACCTGGCGATGATGACGATGTGTACATGCTTGCCCTCGCCTCCGGAATGTTTGCATCAATGTATGCGCCCTGCCGACCAGGTCATCAGCGAGCGCTGCCGCTCATCACACGCCGTCCGCGGCCGTGTGGCCCGCTGGCCGCGATGGGTTGAGAAGACAGCCTTTTAAAAGCATTAAGCGCTGGAATTTTCGTTGGTGATAATCCGTGCTTTGCACGCCATACTCCTTGAATGGCGGCAGCCACTCGGAGCACACCATATTCGAGCTAATCCATGTCTCCTTGGGTGACCGAAAAACGACGACTTTCTCTTCTTTCCCGGACGGTGCAGTCTATCGTTCTAGGAGTTCTTAGCTCGTTCGGGAGACCTGTACTGAGTACAAACACAAACACCATGAGCATGAAAACGTCCGTCCATTGTTGTCATGCAACACATTGTGATGTGTCCGGCATGATTAATAGATTTCCAGCGCGTGATTAAAAGATGTCGTTCTGAATCTGATTCCACCAAGTCTTCAGTGGAGCTGACTCCACAGTGGCACAGACAAATTTTGCCTGACTTCGGAGCTACCTCCGACTACGAGTCGGTGTCAAGCCTGCATCTGGTTGATGCGAGAGTCCAGCGACACCACAGCTGATAACAAACTCTGAATCGAAACAGGCCTCAACCGAGTGCTAGAGCGGTGTGTGGAGATGGACAGTTCGCTCACGTAAAACAGAATTGCTCCCAGAACCCTCTGAGGACCAGGGCTGGTCGCATTCCCGCAAATATCCACGGAGCTCTCGACACGAACACAAAGCACTGTCTCTAAAGCGATTCTCCCCGCTGGAATGTCCAAATCAAGACATTCCAACACGACAAGGGCTAACGAGACCCCACGACGCTATGAGGGCCCAGGAAAGTTAGGAGATGCCTAAGATGTTAAGTATCCGGCCAAGTAAGAGCTTCATATCATGCCAAAAAACAGGGCATTCAAAAAACATCAGGATATTTGGGTTACGGGCCTGTCGAGCGGTGTTTGAGCATTGAAGCACCCTTTATCGGGCAAACCCACACCTGATGCAATCGGTACCAAGGACCAGGAGCGACGCAGCGGTGGGGATGGGAGGGGGGTTAAGGGGTGTTACCCCTCCCCCCACCTGGCGGCGGGGGGGAGCAAAAGTATGTTTTGCTCCCCCCCCCAAAAGGCAGGCCCCTTAAAGGCCCTTTAAATTAAAGGCATTGTAGCTACCAGTAGAATACCAAAATGCAGATCACGAAGGCTCCATAACTGAACTAGAGAATAAGAAATGGCTCAGAATACCCTTTCCTATGTCAAGAGATACATGTTCTGAATCATGAGGTCACCTTCATGAATAAGGCCGCCCATTTCTGGAACAGGGGGTCCGTTCCATGCATCAGATGGCCGTGGTTCGGGACGAGGATGCCCTGTCTTGAGAAAGTGTGGCTTGTTGGCTTGATTTGGACGCCCCCTTCGTGAATCAGGAGCATTCTGCTCTGGATTAGGAGGTCTCTTTTTGTTACGTTGGGAGGCCCTTTTATGGAACAGTGGATCCCCGTTTAGGTAAGCGATACCCTTCGATGGACAATTAAGCGCCCCATTCGGAAGCTATCAACTGTTGACTATTTGCTTGAATATGATGCATGGAACAGTTAAAGAAGGGGCTCATGCCTTCGGCGCCCATTCCCTTTGAATACGACACCGCGCAGGATGCCTCTTTGAGGAGGCCGCATTTTCTTCAAGAGGCCCCTGAAACGTCCGCCCCCCCCCCCCCCCAACTCAAATTCCATGGCGCTGCCTGCGCTAAGGACTGGCTGCGGCTGGCGACTGGGGTTTCAGTTGCAAAAACCGACCGCGCCAGCTACGAGCGCGACAGATAGTGCGCGGTCTGGGAGATGTGAATACAAGGACACTCTTGCAGGGTGATATTTATCGTTATCAACCTCGGTACAGAGCAACGCGACACCTCAAATTGGAGTCAATTAGCTTTTCTGAACTCCACTGGTTGCCTCGCTGAGTGCAGCAAAGAGTACATGACCGAAACTATGAGAAGCCCCTTGGGACGATAAATATTATCCCCTGACTTGCCTCGCTATCCCGACAAAATGCTACTTGGCCGAAACTGGGCGTGCGCTCTCAGGGCAATGAGTATTATCCCGAACTCTGAGCAGATGGCGGCCGCGGCGCGCCAGCTCCGCACGGAGCGTCCGCCGGCGCGCTGAAAGCCTGCCGTCAGACCGGTCTGAGCCGGTCGGGGCGTCGCAGTCGCCGTCAGTGCGCATGCGCCAGCCGGTGACCTCGAGCCGGTGAAGGGTGTTGGCGACTCCCCCGGCCCGCAGTGTGGTTCCTGAGCTCGCTTGAGGGAGGGGTCTATGCTTGGCTCCCGTAGGTCTGCAGCTGTGAGCGGTCCCTCATCTGGCAACTCCTCGCGAAATGGTAGGTGACATTGTGGGCGTGATGGCTGTGATTTTTTAGCGTATTGTGGACGTTCGATTGCTGTCGTCAAGATTACGGTGCGGCGCGCGGGGCCGAGACTGGCGCTTTCACATTTGAGGCACGGTGTGATTGTGATCGGCCAGCGCCACCTATCGGCGCATCATGCCGAGAGGTCTGCCCGCGGGCTGCAGCGCTGTGTAGCCTGGCGCTTGCGTTGTCACGGCTGCAGCTTGAGCGCTCTGATCGGCGGCCGTGGTCGTCACGCGCGGCACGAAGGAATGCTTCCACAGTCCTTTGCGTTGTACCACGCAGGGTCCCCTTGAAAACCGTAAGAATTTTGAGTTTTTTTTTTGTTCGTCTGCTCCATTGATCTGGTAGGTGCTCGCTATGTGAGCTTTCAAAGTGAATGTCTTTTGAGATCGGCCGGCCCTAGGACATCGTTTTTTTTCATTCTGATAAGCTGATCGGCCCAACACGATGTTGCCCTGTCGGTGCTGATTCGCCCCATTGTGTGTGTGTGTGTTTTATTTAGTTGGTTACGCCTGCGTGGCTGCATGACCCCGTTTTGGCGACGTTTCCCACTTTGAAAAAGCAGCGACGGTTGTGGTGCCATTCCCCTGGGTACTAATTAGGGCCTGCTTCTGTGATCCGTATTTCGGAGGCCGCAGCCCTGAGCGGGACCCGAGGCTCCGTCTCCATACGCCAAGATCTTTTGTTCTTTGTCCTGGGTGGCGTTGGATCAGCTTTTGCAGAAGGATGCCCATTTCTCACAGGCTGAAGCCCACCCCCCCTAGTCAGAGAGCTCCTTTTGTTCCCTACATGGTCGTTTTCGAATTCTAGATGCCCTTTTCGACTTGTAGTTTCTATGTATAATTCGGGGCCTCTGTGAAGGTATGGGGGACTAGTCTCTTCACCATATGACCTGCGTGAATCTAGGATCATGAAGGTGATCTGCACGAAGCACGAAGGTGATCTGGGTCCTGCGTGAAGGTGTTCGCTCGACTGTCGCTCCACGAATTGCCAAGACCCCCCGCACCAGTGCCCCGCATTTTGCATGGTGTGATTACAGAGTTGGTCTGCTGCGGGTCACGTTGGGTTCAGTACTTCTTAGAACGGGCAGCATTTGCCAGGTGTTGTCGCATGATGCAGATTCAAACGCGTTTAAACTTTTTAATCAGCAGCCGTGTTTAACCAGCCAGTGTTCATCAAGACGCTTCTTGCCTGGGAAAGTCAGCCACGGTCATAGTTCAGCACAGCTACAGCAGGGTGTAAGCTGGATTGTCTCTCGGTCTCTCCACTCACGTTTTGCGTTCGTGGTCTCTCGACGCCACTGGCATGATGCCTCATCACGTCGCATTAAGGTCCATCAGACGCGTATAGTTCATATGGGTCCTCCAAATCGCCAAGCGTGCAGACCATATCGATTGAATTCAAAACCGAAAGCTGACTGTAAACTGTAACAAGCATGAACTCACTTGAAGCGTGGTCGCCACCATGACGGCGCTGGGCCGCTGGTCGTTTGCGTCACGGATGATTGAAACCTTATGCACGCCGCAACGATTCACTGCAGTGCGAATCGAAATTGCTTGAATGGAATAAAAAGACACTGTTATTGAAGCAGATAGTGTGAGATATCATATCCTTTATCGATGAAAGTGTGAGCTGTTATGCCCTTTATCTATGTAGCTCCATGATAAAGTTGGCCGAATAGGTGCGTTGTTCACTGGTGGATAATGTCAGAGCAAATCGTGTTGAAAAACTTTGGTTCGATAATCGCTAGTAGGGGAAAAATAGGTCCGAATTTCGAAAGAGGTCAAAGAAAAAGGAACTTAAAAAAACACTGAAAGAAGTCTTCAAACTGTATTTTCAGTAGAAAATCAGGGACTGTGTGGACGAATGCGAGAAAACCGGTGTTGCATGCAGAACTTAACCTGCATTATCTAGATTTCGAACATACTCATTCGACCTGAAAAGCTAGCAATTCCTTCAGATATATATATATATATATATATATATATATATATATATATATGTATATGAGCAGCGCGGCTGTGTGTCGATAATTCGTGGTGTATCAAGATATGACGAAGGTCCAATAACGCCGAAGCTTTGATTGTGGCTAAGGCAGGCTTCCCAACCCCAGATTGGTTCTTGGTATCGTCTTGTTGGTACCGGCATTTGGAGCTTGATTAGTTGTGGGCTCTAAGAACTTCCGAGAGCTCTTCAAAGCCTGCGCAAATCCGTTGGATTTGCAGCTAGTGACCATTAGGTCGCGATGAGTCCGTGGTATTGCAAGGAAAGTTCTCCTTAGCCTGTCGAGGCGCGCGTAGGAAGCCAAATCCACTAAAAGTAAACCATCATGGGAGGCTGGCGCAATCCAACAACGAAACGTCTTCAGAAAGAAAGTACATTGCCTGTATGCAAAAACGGTCGTCTCGATCTTGGCTAACGCAACATCGTAGGGTCATCGGCTAACCTGCTTACTGAACGGCAGTTGTCGCCCTTGTTGAGATCGACTGCTCCTCGGAAACTCGCGGAACGTCTGTTGGAGTTCTTGCGATGAGCCGAGACTCGCCAGTGGTAGCCGTTTAGTCCAAATGTCAGCCGATGTCAACGGGCTGTGTGTCATGCAGCTGCCGTGTCGACGTCAAAGGCGCGGGATCACGGGCGTACCAGGCGCCTGTGCATGATATCACGGGTTGTTTATATCTGGGCGGCGGATTGGTGGTTCGCCGTGTCTGGTGGACGCGTGTGGGCTGGCTTACATTTTTGAGGCTGGGATACTCAGGGAGACATTGGTTGACTTGCTGTGACCTGAACAGAATATGACGTCAGTTTCATACTGCTGAGTTGTATGCTGAGCTGCGGACTCGATGGCCGGAGCCGTCCACCGTAGGCAAACAGCTTTCACCACAGCTGTCCTAATCTAGACCGATGAGACTCATTTGGTTTAGTGCGCTTGAAACCTTCCCATCATCAAGGTCGCGCGGATCTTGTGTAAATAAATTTAGGACCGTCTTCCTGGTACACTGAATCTGCTGTGTGGATCGCTGATCGGTCGCGTGCGCATGCTCAGACGGCCGCCGGCCTGCACGTGTTGCAGATGTCCCAGATGGTACCCAGCTACGCGGCCGGCGGCGCCGACCTGGCCAGCAGCCTGGCTGAGCTCGACTTCTCTATCTTGAGCGACTATGAGGTGCCGTCGCCGGGCAGCCTGGCCCCGTGCGAGCGCTCGCCGCCGCACCTGTTCGGCTCGCCGCCTCATGACGCGGTGGCTGATGCCGACTGGGAGTGGCCCGCGGCGGGGGGCGCCCCCTCGCCGCCGGCGTTTGTCAAGCGCGAGCTGCCGGCTGCAGAGGGCTGCCGCAGTCTGCACGAGCTGGCGGCCGAGGTCGGCGCCACGCCGCGCTCACCGCTCAGCGACGCCGGCTACGCGTCCCAAGGTGGCTCGCCCTCCGGCTGCCGGCCGGCCAGCCCGCCGCCCGAGGACCACCAGCTGCTGCGCCAGTGCCTGCGCGACACCTCGCTGCAGCGCCGGCTGAACATGCCCGCCTTCAGTCTGGACATGCTGTACGCCGAGGCCGGACCGCAGCACACCAGCAGCTGGATGATGGAGCAGCTGGAGCCTGTGTTCGACCTGGCGCTCGAGCAGATTCGCCAGGAGAAGAAGAGCGTCTGCGGGATCCTCGGCATTTCCCCCGGTAAGTTGTGCCCACCGGCCTCGGCGCCTACCGCGTGGCCGCGGCTGACAGTTGCGCTCTTCTGTTCTATATCGGGCGGCAGGTGTTATCGGGCGACAGGTGCGCCCTCGCTGGCCGGCGATGACCATGGGCGAGCGCAGGGCGGCCGGCGCGGCCCCGCGCGCCGGTGAAATCGGCCGACGGGCGCGCCGCTCGCGCCGCGCCATTGCGCCACACGCCGCAACTGCGGTCGCCGCACGTCGCCGCGCGGCTGAGTCAGCGGCGCCGGCGCCGGCGCGAGCCGCCGCCGCCCGGGACGCGCCGGCGCCGAAACAATGGCCGCCGCGTGACCGCAGGTCCCCATTGTCAGCGGCCGCTGGTCGCGGTCGCCTGCTCCGCTGCCGTACACGGGAGTGGGGACAGTCGGGGCTACACCGGGCGGGAGGAGCCCATTGTTTCTGTGTGGAGCCAGACGGGACGGGACTAGGCGGGAGTCCATGTTGTCTTTTTGGAGCGATGTTCAGTGCTGCTGTACCACTGGTGACAAGCATTGCGTCATGGCCGGGCTGCACGGCTGGATCAAGGGCAGGGGGAGGTTTGTGTCGAACTCACCAAGTCACCACGTCAGGCGTGTATACAACGGAGCCCTGTTTTGACTATACGATCAGGGCGGCACGGTGGTTGTTGGCAGCAGCGCCGTGCCCCGTCTGTTCCCTGCGTGCTGCGTGATCAAACATCCCATCTCGCAGCCATGCTGGGCGCCCGGCGGAGATGGCGGCGCGGCAGAGTGAGAGGCGGCGGGGGCAGTCGGATGACCTTGGCGGCGCCGCGCCGCCGCCGCCGCCGCCGCGCCGCACCCAGATTTCCCCCGAAGCCGTGCGCCGCTAGCGCTGACGTCAATAGGGGTGCTGTAACGTGTCAGTAATGGACTAATCTCGCCGCTCGGGCTGTCGGCTCGGCGGCCAATTACAGCGCGGCCCTGCGGGCGCCGGGCGCCAGGTCGGCGTACACAGTTGCGGCGAGCGGCGGCGTCGCGGTGGGCCGCGGGGCTCGGGCCGGCACGCTGGTCGCCGGCGGGCCCGACAGGAAAATGGACGGTCCGATTGTGTTTCGGTCGCCATGATGGCGGCGGTGACGTCAGGGCCGATTTGGGCACGCCCTGGGCCGCGTTGGCGTTCCAGTGGTTCACAATCTGAAAGTGCACACCACTGGGCCCTGGTTGGCTGTCCGTTGC